AAAACAGCAAAAGGCTAAAACAGCAAAAGGCTAAAACAACAAAAGGCTAGATAAAACAACAAAAGGCTAGATAAAACAACAAAAGTCTAAAACAACAAAAGGCTAGATAAAAACAGCAAAAGGCTAAAACAGCAAAAGGCTAAAACAACAAAAGGCTAGATAAAACAACAAAAGGCTAGATAAAACAACAAAAGTCTAAAACAACAAAAGGCTAGATAAAAACAGCAAAAGGCTAAAACAGCAAAAGGCTAAAACAACAAAAGGCTAGATAAAACAACAAAAGGCTAGATAAAACAACAAAAGTCTAAAACAACAAAAGGCTAGATAAAAACAGCAAAAGGCTAAAACAGCAAAAGGCTAAAACAACAAAAGGCTAGATAAAACAACAAAAGGCTAGATAAAACAACAAAAGTCTAAAACAACAAAAGGCTAGATAAAAACAGCAAAAGGCTAAAACAGCAAAAGGCTAAAACAACAAAAGGCTAGATAAAACAACAAAAGGCTAGATAAAACAACAAAAGTCTAAAACAACAAAAGGCTAGATAAAAACAACAAAAGGCTAAAACAACAAAAGGCTAGATAAAAACAACAAAAGGCTAGATAAAAACAGCAAAAGGCTAAAACAACAAAAGGCTAGATAAAACAACAAAAGGCTAGATAAAACAGCAAAAGTCTAAAACAACAAAAGGCTAGATAAAAACAACAAAAGGCTAAAACAACAAAAAGCTAGCTAAAACAACAAAAGGCTAGATAAAAACAGCAAAAGTCTAAAACAACAAAAGGCTAGATAAAAACCGCAAAAAGGCTAAAACAACAAAACGCTAGATAAAAACAACAAAAAACTAGACAACAACACAAAGCTAAATAAAACAGCAAAAGGCTAACTAAAAACAGCAAAAGACAGATAAAAACAACAAAAGGCAAACTAAAAACAGCAAAAGGCTAGATAAAAACAGCAAAAGACTAGAACAAAACAGCAAAATGCTAAACAAAAACAGCAAAAGGCTAGCTAAATTCAGCAGAATGTATCAGTATTATGTTATATTTAATATTTTGCAAGAGTCAGTCATTTACATTTAATTTTCTCATAATTTTCATAATTTTCTACAATAGCAAAGAGCAGCAGCAGCTAGTAGTAGCACTTAAAGTGCAGCCTGGGGCTCCAACAATAGAAAAATATTTTAATTTTTTTGCAATTTTCATTTAATCTAAAATAAAATTATTGAAAAAAATTAACACACATCCATCCATCCATCCATCCATCCATCCATCCATCCATCCATCCATCCATCCATCCATCTCTGCCCAGTTTTGGAGGCTCAGGGGACAACATCAGATGGAAAATATTTCTTTTGTCACTATCATTAAATTCTGAATAGTTATAAAACTTTGAAGTGAGGCTTTCTCAGATGAGGTGTTTATCATGACAGAGGTCATTGGACTCAGAGGGGATGATGGTTTTAAGAAGAGTAACACAAGAAAAATCAGAAAATAAAACCACAAGCTACCAAAAAGGCAGATAAGGACACAATAAACTGAAAGAGATCAGGAAATGGAAAAAAAAGCTCCTTCAGTTTAAAATCCTTTGACTTTGAAACGACATTGTCCCCTCAGACAGATTTATCCTACACTCACCATATGACCAAACACCTTGTAAAGCTTTTATTACTTTCATATTTGGCCGTCTGACAACGAGGATAGGAACAGGCAAGCCAAAGTTTTCAACTGCTGCCAGGGTTTTTTTGTTTTGTATTGTTTTTGATTATTTCATCTCCTGTTTTTTTTCCTTACGTTTATAATGGTTGTGAATGAGTAAGATTTAATGAGTCGTAACAGTTTGATCCAAACAAACCCCTGCTGAGGTTCACAACATTGTTCCGAGGTGTCCTGTTCCTCCCGTGTTGCTCCACTCCTCCACCTGTTGACCGTTAACACTCTAACATGGCGTTCCAGACGGTGTCCACGCAGCCCGGGTTGTGTTACATGTTTCATAAGACGCAGAAAAATGTGCTCAGGTCAGCTGGTTGGCTCGCCTGATGTGACAACTTTATCACAGACTAATAACTCCGGATCAGACGTGAGACAAGAAGCGTGTTATCGATGTAATTCAGCTAAGACAAACGTGATGCTTTTCTTTCAGATAATGTTTATATTAAAACAAAAAGTTTTATTTTCTGAGTTACCAGCCTCACGTCAATAAAACCCAGATTAAAGCTCTGTCAAGCAAGGAAGAAATCATATGTGAACACCATGTAGAAATGTTGTCTTCTATGTTCCAAAGCTTTTTAAAAATGTGTTGGACATGTATCAACTCAAGGTCCATGGGCCAAAAATGGCCTGACGCTGCATTTTATGTGGTCCATCTTAAAATAATTTGACTAAACATCAGTGTTGACCATAAACTACATCTCCCATAATGCATGTTGATTAGTTAAAATGACAACATCCCACCACTAGCTGGAGATGTGCTGAGTTAAAAAGTAGCTGGCAGTTGGTGAAATTCACTGTGTAAAATCTACATTTCGCTGCATTTTCGCTGGCTACTTTTGTTGTGCCCCATTTTTACTGGGAACTTCCCACTTACAAGTGTGAATTTTAACTAAAATGCCCCCTCAAGTGGGAATTCCTTGTTGGAAAGTGGGAGAGTTCCATTCAAAAGTGGGAGAGTTCCATTCAAAATGGCAGCAGTGAGTAAAACTTTAAATTTTACTTTTAATAGTATTTTTGTATTTATTATTTCACATTTACTAAGTCGTACACGTCGTAGTTTTTTTGTGTTTATAAGGGGACATGGTAAAAGACTGTTTCTATGCAGGAAACACCAGGAAGAGCTCAGGTAGTGTTTGTTAGTGGTGCTCAGACGTTTCCTGTTCTGAACTGTTACTGAACCTTTGAGGGAAACCCTGACACTTTTCCAAGGTTCCCTCTGCGTCTGGTTTTGACTTGTCGGGTACCCCCCTCGTGTCAGTTATTGACGAGACGGGACGGAATCTGTTGTCATAATTTCAGAAAGTGTAGAAAATGCCCAAAAACTAACCGTCCCAAACCCTAAAATTACTTAACGTTTGCTCTAGACATCCTATCCCTAACCCATTACCTAAATTAACCATGAACCCTGATCCCTAATATTAACCACGAACCCCAACTCAAAGACCCCTATATTTTGCGTCCCGACGCGTCAAAACCGGACGCCGAGAGAACCCGGAAAGGCCTGGTGCGTCAATAACTGACGTGAAGGATGTACCCAACACGTCAAAATAAGACGCAAAGGGAACCTTGGAAAAGCGTCAGTATGTGACGAGTCGGGAGTGAGAATGTGTTAGATGTGTTCCTCAGTAAAACTAAGTTTGATCAAAGCATAGTTTTAAAAACCTCTCTGATGGTATGGGGGTGCATTAGTGCCACTGTCATGAACATCATCTGGAGGGAAACCATCAAAGCAGAAACGTACAGTATATTCGGACTGCTTCACCAAATCACATTTATTTCTTTATTTATTGCATGATATAAAAGAGATAACTCAGTTTTTAAAATATTTTCATCGTCTTCGTCTTTGTTTGACATAAACGTGTCGTGTTGAAGGTGTGCAGTGAACGAACCAGGACCACACTGTGGGTTGGGTTTCACTGCTTCGAGGTGTCGAGATGTTGAATGATGGCTAATAAGACATTTTGGCTATTATTATTACCAGAGATAAACCCGGTGGATGCAAATAGTTTTATTGGTCATGTCCTTGTTTATTTTAGTTGATTAGCAGCGCTCGTGTGTTTTCAGCCTGCAGCAGTCAAGGCTAACTTTAGCTCCTTTTTTGTCAAACTGACAGGTGTAGTAGTTTTTGTTTTTGCTAACGTTGCTTTTTTGAATGGGTTTGATTCTAAAAGTGAATTATTTGTAGATTATCAGTGATTACTGTGTAAAACTTGAATTCCTTCAGTGAGTTATACGATATTTTGCTAACAGGACAGACACAGACATTAGCAGAAACATCATTAAATGTAGAAAAAAATTACATTATGGTTTTATTTCGAACTGGCTTCAGGTTTTGAGCAGATCTTCTGACCTCTTTTGTTCATCCGATCGTGAAAAGAGTTTCCAGGTCAGGAAACGTTTGAGTGCGATACGTCTGGACTGGTTGTCAGCACGAAGCCACAACTCTTTGATGAGATTTTTAAACATTATGTGTTTAAATTCACATTTACGTTTGGTTTAGACACATTTATTCCACAAATCACAACTAAAGAATGGAGTAAAATCTAAATAAACAAAGCTTCCTTTTTTAATTTATATTTTTAGCTTCTTATAATAGTAAGGGTGTTCAGGCGGGTTCAGCTGATCCAGAGTCAAGCGTGTGACTGCGTCTGAGACACGATGACACGGAGCTGCATGTGATGAAAAGTCTTCGCTGTAACTGAGGCCGCGGTCTGATGATGTAACTCAAACTAAATCCACCGTCTACGTATCGGTTTTCATT